TTCCAATTTATATCTCAAATATATCACGGTTTACTAAAAGGATGTTGCTTATTAAAAATCGCTATTCTGCAATTTGAATAAAAAGATTATTAATCTTCAGCGCGCGGGGAGGAAAAAGAAGAAGATGCAAAGGCGCGTCCTCTTCGCGACCGCTACTTGGCGACGATGTTCTCGAGATGCAAGAGAGACGCGCCCGCGAAACAACTTTTGGTGTCGCGGAGGCGAAAGGCGGGAATGGCGAGAGTGGCGGGAACGGCGGGAAAATTGAGCCAACCGTCCCGGTATATCTTGTTGCTGCACCACATCGCCGATGTGTAATACGGTTTTCACCGACTCTTTCTCGGAGTTACAGCTAGGCAGAATCGTGCCATAACTGTACACGAACAACGCGCGGATTTCGCCTGGTTCGACGTTGCATGTTGATGTATAACATGCGATGCGTCCTTTCCAGTTAATCCCAACTGTAATTTTAATTCGAATCTTCTCATTTTTTTGTTCATTTCGTTTGTCCAAAAAAGAAAATTGGAAAGAATTTGATTTAACGTAATAACAAACTTTTTAATAAAAATAAAATTATTCAATATTCGTCGAGGAACTTGTAACTCACGGTTTTTCTCGCGATACGTTCTATATACATTTCAGAGTACACATTTTTTATGTTTAAATTTGATATTTCAATAGAAAACAATATTTCTTGATATAAATATTTGTGAGCTCCAAAATTCATTTGTACAACTTGTATGTTACATATTTATTCGCTTTCTAATGGTTAAGCCAAATTTTCCAATAAGCTGTTGCTTGTGTCTGCGAAACGAGTGCGAATAGTTCGTAATAGAGACACTTAATAAATAAAGGAATTTCGCTGTTGAATCGAATTTTCGTGACGCGTCGAACGATTCTCGTCTTCCGCGTAAAGAAGTCCGTCCGGCAGTGGTTTAAGAATTCAGGCCGGAAGTCCACACAGGAGTCGCAGCTTTCGAAGACGATCGTAAAACGTCCCGCCAGATCTCCGCCGTTTCCTGATCCCCACCTTGAGTATCCCTCGCCGAGTAGCTTCGCCGAGGCACTAACGAGCGCTCCTAGTCGACGAGAAAGTCCCAGCCGGCGCCTGTGCGCGGCAAACCTCAACGAACTGAATTCTGCGGGTATCTTTATATAAAACGATGCGTCCGCGTTACAGAAAATATTGAAAATAATTGAAGTCTCTCTCTTCTATAACTTATGCAATTCCGCAAAATATATTCCTTTCTACATTCTGAAACTACGACATTGATTGCTCTAATCAGAAATACAGAGAATCATTTTCTGTTTCATTGTCAGAGAAAATTCTTCCTTCTATATCTATGCGATAAACTTTTCTAGAAATTTTACGCGCGAGATATATCGAATGTATTATCATGAGAAATACTTGTACATAAATGACTATCGGTACTGTCAAGAGAATTTAACAAAAATCGGAGTAAAGATATATTTATATAATAATAAAACTATCGAGAGGGCTCGTCTGAAATATTGAAACGAAGCGGCGACGGCGGCGTCGATGTCGCGGAGGGGAAAGGCAGAGAACTAACCGAACGCGGACGGAAGCGCGCGGCACATCGTGCCAAATTCTAAATTCCCTTCCACCTCGCGGCCGTTTTCGCGGCCGCCGGTCGTCGCGCGGCCGTGCATGCGCGCCCCGGCGTTCGAATAAGGTGAGCTCGCGTCGCCACGGCCTCGTCGAGTGAGCAAGGACATTCATTGGCCACAATTCATCCGTCGTTCCGTGCCCAGCCAATCGTAAACTCGGCCGGCGCGCTTTTCTCCGTGCTGGAGTCGCGGTCGCCGTCGCCGTCGTCGCCGTCGCCGCGCGTTCACGTAGCAACTTGCGACGCGCACCGATATCGGCGCCGTAATACACGCGTATATCGCGTGCATGCGTGATACACGCGATATACCGCGTAGAGCGCGGGTTCGACTTGAGCAGCAACGGCGGCGGCGGCGGTGGTAGCGGCGGCGGCGACGCGCGGCCGTTTCCGTGCTTGGCAATGTCCGCGCATTCTCGCGCAGCGTCCCGCCGGCCAGTTAAAAGTCGTCTTCACGCCACCGATATACTACTTAGCCGCTCTCTCGCTCCGTGACATCAGCCGCGGCACTAACTACGACCGGACACGTCGCGCCGGTCGACCGCGAGAATCGTCAACAGGGAATCCCAGCGCGCGCACTTCAGGATATTCGAAACGCCGTTTCATCTCGATCTCTTGCACTTGTACATTTATACATTCTGTATTATACAATAAAGAAACTTTAGTTACTGTCGTTTTCATTGATCCATACCGCGCGTGCAGGTTTTTCCCTGATGAACGAATCATTTTCGAGAAATTATTTTATTTTCGGAAACGAAAATGGAATAATTTAGGACGGAATATATTCTGGTAAACTTATCTTGCGATTTCAAAATTCCTCATCAAGGTTCGCATCGATTTAGAAGGCGCTATCGATTTTATCGAGCTTCGAAAAGCTATTTAATAGACTATTGCATCGAATAAAATTTCTTAAAATTGTGCGAAAGGAAACATAGAATATCATATATAAATATATATCTATATATTTACGAGTTTTTTTCCGCGCGGTTTAATAAGTTAAAGAAGCGCTCCGGTACGATATCGCGAAACTACGCTGAAAATATACTCTGACGCCCCGCCATTTCCACCGTCGCCGTCGCCGTCGCCGTCGCCGTCGCCTCCGAAGAGAAACCGAGGCTCGGCGTTATGCGTCGGCTCGGAGCCGCGTCGTCGGCGTACGTGTAGCAACGGCTCGGTTCTCGGTCTCTCCGCTGGTGAGAGAGACCTCGAAGCTCCGCGCGCTCTGCCTCGCGGCCGCATACGGAATGACGCGCAAAATTCGCGGAATTGGCCGACGCGGGGAGGTCAGCCGATCGTAGAACGACGGCGCACGTCCCCCGGCGTCCTTTCGCCGTCGCGGCGTCCCGATGACGCGCCCCTTTTACCCGATAGGGAATAAAAATGTTCCCGGTGAATTTTCTTAGGCTGCGCGCCGTATGGAACGTGGCTCGCGCGTTGTCTGCCCTTTCCCCCGTCCTCCCGGCCGCCCGTCGCCGTGCCGCGCCGCGCCGCGCCGCGCCGCGCCGCGCCGTCGCTGCTTGCTGGCTGGCTGGCTGGCTGGCTTGGCTGGCTGGCTGCTCGGCTGCGCCGAGCGAGCGAGCGAGAGCCGAGACCTCCTCTCTCGGACTCGCTTGCGCTGCGCGCCGTATACAGCCAGCCAGTCAGTGGCGAGTTTCGAACCTAGTGGTGTTAGGCCGACTCCCTCGTGTTCGAGGGGCCCCTGCATCGAGAGACCGGAGGTACCCCGGTGAAGGCTGCGCGCTCTCGGCGCTCTCGACGTACGCCCGAACCTCCGAGGCTCTACGCCTTGCGTTTTTAAGGCCGGCATGAAAATTTACTCACGGACGCGCTCACGTAGCCCTCACTCCCGCGCGCGAGTTCCTCTTTGCCGTCCTTTTCTCCATTTTCTCTCGGTTCTCCCCTTTTTTTCTCTTCAACATCCGACATGCGAACATCGGTCTCTCGGCGAATTGAGCATTTGGAAAATCGCTAAAAAAAAGTAAATTCTCCTTTCGAGTAAATTAATTACGTTACTCTCATCCCGATCACCTTGCAATAATTCCACGTTAATTTCTACGCAATATCGCAAGCGTTATTATCGATAAATAATATTTCGCGCGGAGCAAAAGAGAATATATTATATATAAAATGCATACATCAAAGATAATTGTACAATTGGATTTTTGACGAAGCTATCCTTCGTTTCTCATGTGGAGAACAAGAGAAATGTCGGGGACGGAAAATGTTCCGTCGCTCGCGCGGCTCTTCGCTCGCGAGCGCGTGATTACCTTGCTGGCTGCAAGGTCCTGGCGTCGAGCAGTGGCGCGATTGACCGTGCTATCTCGGTCGTCTCGTAAGATATTAAGCAGCACGACGCGACGAGCCGGGAATCGGCGCGATCCGCGCGCGGGCTGCGCGCCCGCAAAGTCATTTTGAGTTTTTGCTGCGTCGTTGAAATATTTCAGCGGGGCCGTCGCCGATCCGTTCTCCGATAACTTTCATCGACCGGCCCGCGCTATCACGGACTTTCTCGAACAGAGCGATTTTTCTCGATCGCGGGGAGTGCGGGAGACTTTCTGGGAGAGGGAGAGAGAGAGAGAGAGAGAGAGAGAGAGAGAGAGAGAGAGAAGGAGAGATAGGAATATATGTTTAACCGCGAGTCCTAAAGCTACCAAGAGAATCCGTTTCTTTTATTATATTATATGCCGCGACGCAAGCCGGCATCTATCCCCTCGTCCACCCCCGCGCGCTAATGAGCGCCACCAATCATTCGACATAAAAGCATTGTTTATACCTGAAAAGCTGCACACACTTCGACAATGAATTTCCTTTCGCGAACGGTCCAGAGTGACATACACAGTCCTACGATATTAAATCCGATATTAATTATGTAATTAATTTACGCGACGTGAATGAAACGTATCCTTCCATTTATATCAATTTACATCAGGGCGTTCGGGCGCTAACAATATGGCATTATGCGCCCCGCGGAGCGATCGACTTTTTCTCTCGAAATGTCATGTTAAGAACGACGCGAGCATATGTTATCGCCGATCGAAACGGTCGCTAGCTTTCGCAGGTTCGTTCTTTTATTTTTTTTTTCTTCAAAAACGCGTACATCGGCGACGATTTTGTCGAGTTGCGATAACGAATTGTTTGTGGATGATCACTCCTCCGAACGATCGTACGTCGCATTAGAATTTCTGCGTCGATGCGAAATTCGACGGACAAAGCGCGCGTTGCGTGGCAGGAGCAGTGGCATGCCGGCGCGAGTATACGGCACTGACTTTCGTGCCGGAGTGCAGGTGGGCCGAGCGTCGACGGAAACGGCCGAACGGGCGTTCGGGGGAAAACCGAGCGGCGCTACTCGGCGAAGACTGTTGTCAGAGTATTCAGTAATGCTTTGCATGGCCAGCTAGCTGCTATCGTGTGCGTCGATGACAGTCGCGTTGTCATCTGTTCGGAGTGATCGTGCGATGTTACTTGAGGAGCTAACCGGGGCTACCGGCGGCCGACACTTAACGTCGCGCAGTGCGTTTTTCGTGAGACTGTGAATTAAGCAAAATAAAAAAAGAAGAACGAGAAAGAAAATAACGAAACGCTAACGGACAAACGTACCGGGAAAGATAGGGACGGGGAAGTGTGAAGAGACACAAGTGTGAGAGAGCGTGAAAGACAGAAAGGAAGAGGGAAGGAGGACGGGCATTTGCGGAAACAGGACTTCATCGTGCCCACGGCCGAAGTAACGTGGAACTTCGGTTCCACGTACCGCCGTTCGTCGGTTTCGGCTACTCTTCTCTCCGTTCTCACCGTAAATCTCCGAGTCACGCGGAGAGCGAAGGAAAAAACGGACCGTCGCGGTAGCACCGTGTGCGGTAGTGCAGCAGCAACGTACCAAGATGCTGTCGTCAGTGTCAGCGAAATAATAATGTGGTGCGACGTCAGTCAGGTGAGTTTCGCGCGCGGTTCCGCGCGCATCGCTTCTCTCTTACACTCTCATTCTCTCTCTCTCGCGCGCGCGCCGCTCTCGGCCGCCGTCCTTTTTTCCCGCAACCCCCTATCCCCTCCTTGGCGCGCGCCCGCACTCCCCCGTGTGCGTTCCCTTCCTTCAGCGTGTACGACACGCGTGCCGCGTTTCCGCGTTACGTGCCGGTCGAGGAGAGCGGGTTACGTGATCGCGCGCGCGCTCGCCGCTCCGCTCGGCCTCTCGGCGCGGAGCAGCGATCGTGTAAGAAAGCCGACTCGAGTATTTTGCCATCGGGACTTTAGTCTTTTCGATAACAACGTTACGAAGTACGGTACGTATGAAATACGACCGGTGCGAGACGCTTGCGAAGATCTCGAGGAAAAACTTGATGCATCCAATGTCGCGTCCTCTCGATCTGCTTTGCGAATGCCGTCGCAGTTTGCCGTCGGGAAAATTAATCTGTTGTATAACCAACATGCCTGATGGCAGTTATCCTCGGCCGCTTCCTTTGGATAAAAAAAAACATGGACAAAAAAAGAAAAGAAATGAGGACTTGCCGTTTGTTCACGGCGCATCGCGCTTACATCGTTCTCGAAAATCGATCGACGTTCCCGCATTCGCTCGCTCGCGCTTTCGGAGCATCACGAGCGAAAAACGCCCGTGGAAAAATCTACGCGCTGCACCGAGTACGCGGCCACGCGTAGGACGACCAAGTGTCAGATTTGACGCGTGGTAACCTCGTGTTCGGTAGTTTGAATTCGAAGCGATCCCGCGTTTCCTTGGCCCGGCGGCGAGGGGCGGCAGGGACGACAGGAGGGCGGCCGCAAGGGGAAAGAGGATGACGAGGCGAAGCTCGCCGAGGGGGAACGACGAGGTGGTTTGCGTATACTGTGTGTGGGCCGTGGAGTCAGCGGGGTGCGCGAGAGAAAGGGGGGGAAGAGTAGAAACGAACGACAGCGGCAGCTTGATAGCGCGCGGTGGGGTTTGGGACGAGAAGGGAGTACCGGAGAGCGGCAGAGAGGCGAGAGTGGTGAGGATGGAGAACGGCGGGACGCGGAGGGGGTGAGAGATCGCCCGAGGCTGCTGGCTGCCTCCTCTTCGCTTGGCCAGCGCCGCGAGGAAACCTAGCGTCGGCTCGGAGACGCTAGGTGGGGATACGGTTATAACCAACCATCAAGGGGCAGCGTCGTCATGGTTACCACGACGACAACAACCCGATCTGGTCTAGGGGGGTGTTTTTAAAGACATATTCGCTTTTGCTGCGTCTCTCTCTTTTCCTCCCTCCCCCCCTCTCTCTCTCCCTCCCCCCTACCCCCAATTTTCTCTCTCTCTCGGAGTTCTCCACTCCACCTTTCTCTCCCTCGCTTTCGTCCTTTTTCCTTTTTTCCCTCCGCCTGTCCCTCTTCCTAGCGATTGTTTTTCATCACGAGGTCTTTGAGCGGCGCGAAATGTTTTGCGACAAAATCGAAGGAGAGGGGCGCGATATCGTCGAATCGTAATCCACGAAGAGAGCGCGCTCGCGGAGTCATAATTCTGCACTACCGTCGTCCGAATTGTTTTCCGAGATATTTCTCGCCGCGAAAGGTTACCGTCACATGCGTTATTTAGACCCGATCTGTTAATCTCGCACTCTATTGTAAAAATATGCAAATAATTATTTCACCGAATACTTCATATTCTTCAACAATGATCGTGTAGAAATTGCGAAATACGAAATTTAATATGAAACTATTATTAAATTAGAAAAATTATTCGCAAACCTCATTACCGTTGTAAAAATGAGTCTGTTAAATTTTTAAACTAATCGGAATGCTTTTTCAATCTGCCGTATATATTTTTTTTATCCCCGACGTTATTACGCTGGAATTTTTTCAACTTATCACTCTTGGATTAAAATTAGGAACCGATTTGCCACCCGCTGTTTTTTGGTGAAAGCAAGAAGGATGACTTCGGGCGATCGTATGACACCTTAAGTGTCAGTCGCCAAGCACTGTTCTGTAATTGACTTGCAAGTTTATTCTCGTGAAATTATACTATAAAGGCACACTTTTACGATTTGCTTTCGATGATCATTCCTAACAAAAACCGAAATGAGATAAAAGAAACTGATCTGCAGTGCAGACAACAAACGGTAGAGCTTATTGAGTTTATTAACTTATTGAGCGTTAAGTATAATAGGATTATCTTTGAATTTTTTTTTTTTTGCACGATTATTCAAAATTCGGTGATCCGCAACGAAATATGTAAACAGTGTCTCGTGCCGCTCGAATCCTATGAGACTGTGCAAAAGTTTTCCATGCGAATTTATGCAAATTTACGTAGATTTACGCTGCTGCTTGTTAGACGGATAAGATTGAGAGGAATTAGCGGAGGATTTTGAAAATTCGTCAACACTCCAGGAGATTGAAAATCTTTCAATGCATTCGCAGAGAAGTGAACACGAATACCCAAAACAAATATCGTGTAGGAGTATCTCGATACCTTTTCCTCGCACTCCACTGATCTGAAGATCTTACGTTATATCCTTTGAAAATTAGATTAGATCCGATTCGAGTGAGAATGCGTAAATTAAGGAGTGTAATAAGGATTTTTATTGAATGTAGAATAAAGTAATCAGCGGTTTATACTGGCCGACGGACGCGAGCGTTGCGATTCTGCGTAAAATTGGCGCACGAACGTAGAACGGACGCGCCAAAATTCGGGTGGTGATAAATCAGCAGTGTACAGTGTGTCTAGGGGATGAAGGTGGCACAGGCACAGGGTGGGAGCGGGGGGGGGGCGGAGGAGGAGGAGGAAGAGATGAGGAGAGGAGAGGGTTTTTCGGCGCTTCCGACGGGCCGGTGGCCCGATGACCGACAAAACTAGCCAGTTTTTCCACGTGGTTTCGCGCCGTACGCGACAAATGCTTGTCTCGGTGTGCGCGTGTTTGCCGGCGCGTCGTTAAAACTTGGAAAAATTTTTCGCGCCCACGCTCTTAACCCTTTCGGACGAATCCGCGTCTATCTCGGTCACCGGCGCGATAGACGCAGATACAAACTGATTTCGACAAGAAACAGTGTTTATTATAAATATAAATATATAAGGTTTATTAAAAATGTAAAAGAGAGATTATTGTAAGATCGTCGATCTAACGCGCGAGGTACAAGATATTCATAACCGTTGGTTTTATAATTATGTAATAGTATACGAAGTGATAAAAGTGATAGGTTTTATCACTCGAGCTCTTGGAGCAGTACATTGGATCTCTGAAAGAAGTGAATCCTCTATAATATTGTAAACTTAATTGGAAATGTTGAGTTGAAATATTCTAATTAATTTTATTTTAATTAATGAAATGATACAATAAAACAATAATGATCTAAATAATGTTAGAATTTGACGCAAATCCACCAGCTCTATATATTACTATTACTGTATTATAAAGCAGAAAAAAGTATCTTCTTTCCCGTCATAAGGGACACTAAAAAATCTGTAATTTAACGTACTCATTGAATTAAATATTCTCATTTCTAAATTAATCTTTAATTTTTAACATTTTAACATAAATAATAGACTGTAATTAATTATAGTTATTGTAATTGTTTCTAACGATATAATCTCTCTGCAAAACATGCAGATATTTTCTCTAAATATTCGAAAGAAGAAACGATAAACACTTTTAATTCAATTAAATATCAATTTAATATCAATCACTCTCAATTATCTCGGACTAATTTATAATACAGAGATTGGATAGAACGATGACCAATACGTATCGAATAAATACTCTTGAAATACTTTTACCGGGCTATAATCTCAAGCGAAAATATAATCTGCATTTTTCGGCATTAGCACGCGTTTAGCTTCTTGCTGAGTCTCTGAATTCTGTTTGTGATGATAAATAAACCCTATTTTCCGCGATAAATCCGAGTGGGCATTGCACTGAATACGCATACTGACTTATCGAATCTCTGTACCGGCAAATTTTATCGAGATGCGCGTATAAACACGACTATCATCGATTCACCGGATAGCGCGATATATGTGACATAACTCCTCCGCGAAATCTATTTCTGTTCACGTTGTATTTCCGTATTATCGACGTAAGCGGCGTGGCGATACCGGACCGCGCGTTTGATTTGATGCCGAGAGGCAAACCGCTGACCAAAAATGGTGTACGCTAATCCCGTAATAACCGAGATTGCATACGAGAATGGATCTCGCTTCATTAATCGCTCGAAAACAATTACATATTCAACCTGCACAATAATGAAAGCGACGGAAATTGTTTAATTTTTAATTTAGTAAAAAATCTGTCTCTCTCTTCTCTTTTTCTCTCTTTCTGTACGTATACCTGCACATATATTTTTTTAATGCATATACGTCAAAATCTCAAGTAATATTTAACTCTCGATGGCGAGCTTACGTATACGTACGCGGCGTTTACGCTCGAAATCATATTTCAATATTGCATTTCTCTCCGCGCCGCGAGATGAACGCGCGCTAAGCGCACCGGCTATATTTCGCGATGCATTATTTCGATCGATTTCCGAACTCGCGCGTCGCGTTGCTTGGATCGCTTGCTGCTGCATATCGGCCCGTCGGCGCGGCGCGGTGCAGTCCGCCGCGAGTCAGTACAAAGTGAGTCCAAGTTTCCCCTACCTCCCCCACCCTCCCTCCGAGCACCTCCGCCTCCTTCGTCCCGCCGGCCCTCGCGCGCCCACCATCACGGGCCATTAACGAGAGAGTTATCGACGCGCGATCTGTCAATAGGCTTCTCCCATTCATAAATTCGCCGGGCCGGCGTGCGGCGGTGGCCGCATAGTTTTGCCGCAGAAACCACGTGGCGGCGGCGGTGGCGGCGGCAACCACGAGACGAGGCGTACGAACGGGTCGGACGGACACCTCCGTCGTTACGCTGCGCGACCCGGGGCTCCGCTCTAACCGCGTGATTTACGGCCGGCGTCCCCGTTTTAAATGCATGATGGCAAGCGGGTGCCCAC